GCCTAAAGCCACAATTAAGAAATGGCAGCTCTGACACCAAGGTCCACACTCTGAACTGCTGAGCTCCACTGCCTCTACCTGATTTCCACTGAACATCATGGCACCCCAAGTGTTCCCCAGGGCTGGCCACCTGCTCCAGAGCCGCTGAGGCCTAGGTGGGCCCTGCAGTTCAGCAGTCCTATTAGAAACCCCTGAGCATCCAGACCCCCACTCATCTCTCCACGGGGGCCTTCTGAAGGGAGGAGGCGTGGCCCAGCCATTCTAAAAGAGCCTTGTGTTGCATACCCCCATCACCATTCCTGCAATTGTCTGCCAGCTGTAAGGGTCTGTGCCTCGCAGACAGGAAAACAATCCCTCCATAGTACCCTTTGGGTGAAAACTAGACAAGTAGAGCAATCTGGTTAACTGATTAATACACATCCTCCAGGAAACGTTTCTTGACTCCTTCTCATGGCACAGGTGGTCCTGCATCATCACCAAGTTTCTCTTGCCTGTACCTATCCCTGGACAGACACCTCTTTGGGGTGGGGATAGGTCTTGCTCCGGCTTACTAGTATATTCCAGTGCCAGATACATCACAACTCTCAGTGAGGACCTGCTAAATGCAGGTACTTCCCTCATATGCCTTGTATCTGGCCACGATCCTGACTAGGCCCTGAGCTACTTAGGGGCTGATACCCTGGCTTCCCCCTCTTTTGATATCTTCCCCAAGCTCTCAGAAGAGGCTGGCTGGCACCAAGTAGGTGTATCCAGCACAGATGAGCAGATGGCAGAGCCCCTCTCCCAGCTCTCACAGGGCTGGTTGCCCTTCACTGCACTTATCAAAGTCGGTAACCATCTGGGTTGGTTGGTTCTTTCTCCCAACTAAACTGTGAACTCCAGGAAGCAGAAACCATTTCTGGCCCCATCATTCCTAAGCTCTCATACAGAGTCTAGCATGGTGCCTGGCACACAATAAGCGCTCAATAAATATGTGGAATGAATGGGAAAGGGTCTTCAACAAAACAAAAGCAAATAGCAGAATAGAGAGCTTGGTCACCTATCCTTTTTACTTAAGGACCAAAACCGAAGTTCTGAGTGGGCAGATGTCCAGGACTTCCAAATATCCACATGCTCTCATGTTCTAGCCAAAGGGGCTCAGGGTAGGTCACCTTCTGAGAACGGTGAGTGTGGGTGTGCAGCACTGTTCTAAGGAGCAGAATGGAGCAGTGTTTTTACTGGGCGTGGCCCCAGAACTCAGCTTCTATCCCATCATCAGGACATAGGATACAAGTGACCACAGCAGTGACCAGACACAGAACTGCTGGCTCAGGATGTCTCTCAAGGTGCCAGTCATGCAGGCTCGGCACCATGTTGGGGAACTGGCGTTAGGCAATGGTCATGCCAGTGACTCGCCACTGTGTGCAGACAGAGAAAATCGTTCAGATTCAGCTAACTAGAGCTTTGTGGAAGGTCTTGCAAAAACTTAAATATGTACAACAGGGGTTAACTTGACTAATATGAGAGTAAGGATTTGCCATAAGCTACTTTTCCAGCTCTAGTAACAGGTTGCCCTGGCTATTCCCACTCCCCTTTGTGACCACTACCATATACCTATGGTAGTTGGGGACAGGTGTGATGGGTGTGGGTGCAAACAGGATCAAGGTCTCTGGCTGCCATGAGAAAGGACCCGCTGACTGTGACCTCATCATCTCTGTGCTCAGTTTCAGAGCCAGCCAGGCACAGACAAGGAAAATGTACAGGTTTGCTGTGTGGACACTAGTTTCTCAGAGATGATGTAGCAGTGGTATCCCCCATCCCATGCCCTGAAAACTAAAAAGAGAAAGCTTGAGGGAAGAAATGAAACTGATGTTGTACTTGACCTAATGACAGTGTCTATGAAAACTCCAGTGATAGGGGCACCATGGCATTTGGAAACCAGAAAACATAGGCTGTCTGGTTTGCACATCATGTCAGCTTTCCTTTAATGGTCAAAGCCCCTTTGGCTCTCACAGCAGCCTGGAGTTGGTGGAGCAGGACTCTTGTGTCCATATGAGTTGTAAGGAAACAGGTCCAGGAGGTTAAGTGACTCACTCTAGGTCAGTGGTCGGCAAACTCTTTAGTCAACAGAGCTAAATATCAATAGTACAACGATTGAAATTTCTTTTGAGAGCCAAATTTTTTAAACTTAAACTATATATGTAGGTACATTGTTGTTAACTTAATTAGGGTATTCCTAAGCTGGCCTTTGCTAAAAACGTCCT